CGCAATGCTACTAGCGATACAAGCGAATCGTCACCCGAACCAACCGCTGAATTCCTACACGTCGTATCCCCTGTAGGAACAAAACGGACGTACACGACTTCGGCCGCCAGCAGAGCGGTCGTTGCCTCCGATAATGCTTCAACAGGAAGCCGTCCAGTTCAGACGATCCTTTCCACCGCGGGTGCATCTTGGAACTTACGACGAGCAAGGGAGCCTAGCTCCCCAGAGTCGAGAAAGAAGGCGCGGACTTCCAGAGACGTGGTTCAAAAAACGCTCGATTTCAAGACCCGTCTCACTAGCTTTGCCCGACCTGGAAGTCAAGTCAGCAGTCAACCGACATCGCAGGAACAGTTCGAGAGGTCCGATGAAGTCGACGACGAAATTGAGATGGCGGAAGTTCAGGAAGTGGTGGGAGGGGACGAAGAGATGGATGTGTCCGATGAAACGCCCCAAGAACAGAGCGTGGCGATGATGTCGCTTCCCGTCCGAGGCAGGCGGATCTCGTCTCCCGATCCCGAATCCATGGAACGATCTGCATCACCGACTCCGCGGCTCGGCCGTCGTCGTGGTAGCGATGCAAGAAGCGAGATTGAGGTCGACCTTGTTGAAGTCGAGCCGGTGGAATCTCATCCCAAGGAGACGCCAGATACTCTCCCAGCTGAAAGTGCCAGTACGGATGTGAAACAAACCGCCAACAGAAACAATGCTCGGGGTGTCAAGTTGGAGCTGGAGCGCATATCGAGGTTGTGGACCGCCTCTAGCGCCGCGTCCTCGGCGCAAGGCACGGTCCCTTCGATCATGGTTTCCGGTGCTGCCTCTGTATCCAACGTTGAAAGTCAGCAAAAGGCGGAAGAAGAACTCTCTCGCGTCATCCAGAAAGCGGATTTCGAGTCTATGGAAGTTGTTGGACAATTCAACAAGGGATTCATCGTGGCTCGGCTTCGCAAGGCTCCGGAAGGAGAAAGTAGCGGGACCCCCACAACGTCAACAGATGACTTATTCCTAATCGATCAACATGCTTCCGACGAGAAGTACAACTTTGAGACCCTGCAAGCCACCACAAAGATTCAATCACAACAGCTGATCCAGTAGGTCGAGCCGTCGCTGTCTCTTTCTCCCTACCAACGTTCCACAATTCTCTTAGGCCCCGTTTGCTCGAATTGAGCGCGGCGGATGAATTAATTGCAACGGAAAACATCGAAGTTCTTCGCAAGAATGGGTTTGAGATCGCACTTAAGCCGACCGCGTCAGGGGAGCGTCAACGTATTCATCTGGTTGCCCAGCCCATAAGCAAACGCACCGTTTTCGACTTCAAAGGTCAGTAAAGAACTAGAAATTAGTGGTCATTGCGCTGACATCAAAACTTTCTTGCATTACAGACCTTGAGGAGCTTCTTCATCTCATGCAAAATGCACCGACTGGTCAAATGGTGCGATGTTCGAAAGCTCGCAACATGTTCGCGAGTCGTGCCTGTCGTAAAAGTGTCATGATCGGCGACCCGCTGACCATAAGCCAAATGACTTCTGTGAGTTCTACTTGGTGTGAGATTCTTCCTTACACATTCACCTAAGCCTTTAATGAAGGTTGTTCGGCACATGGCAACCATGGATCAGCCTTGGAATTGCCCACATGGACGTCCGACAATGCGACACTTGGCACAAGTACCTTCTGGGCTTGGTCGAGCACGTTCTATCATTGACTGGAATGCTTTTGGATGCTCTTCAAGAGGTTGAGGACTAGCTGTGGACGGGATACAATTCATCCAACGAGCCCATCCTCCATCCAACCATGGCTCGCGGCGTGGTTCTGTGTGACCTTTGCCAGGATATTATCGTCTTAGACACATGCTGGATTTGGATGGCTGGTTTTCATATATATATGTATGTATGTATTTATGTATAGCAGAATGCACGAACCGCCTCAGAGGCGACCCAAGACCGAAGCCCGAAGAACTACAGCTCCCTACTTCAAATTCTGTGCCAGTAGCCTACACAACTTCGGTTCATTAGTGTAGCGGTTATCACTCCGGATTCTGATCAGGCCATGTCCACAGATCTTCCGGCAACCCCGGTTCGAATCCGGGATGGACCTTCACTTTTTCCATTTTGACCTCGGCGGTGTCCAGTGGAATGGACTTGGTTTCAAATATCAGAAGGAGAATCTTCCGCCAGCCCATGCACCGCCAATTTTTTCAAAGTGATACTAACTAATTCTGACTGCTCGCAGAAGGTGAACAAGATCATGAGGGCGGCAGGAGCCTGCCTGATACAGTGCATATATCGCGCCTACAACCTTGCTCGCTGGCCGGCCCTCACACGAGCAATCCCCGCTCCCAAGCAAACCTAAATGAGTTCCGGAGGATATTTAGTCTTCGGCCGATCAGATAACCTCCTCTTTTACCATACTAACCTTTCCGGATGTCAAATTCTTCGTCGAGAAAACTACCTCAGTAACTCCATCTACACTGTCACCCATCCTCCAAATAGAGGTTTCTAGCGAATCTAAAAAAGATTTAGGAGCGTGAGCAGAACGTCTAATCGTGCCGTGATTGGTTCTGGCTCGGAAGCCCCTAGACCATCCAGAAAATCACCCACCTCCAGGCTTAACTGGACTGGTGAATCGAGCTCCGAAGGCCAGCAGGGCGTTTGGGTCGTTACTTCCGATGGTATTTAAGATAGCCCGTGCGGCGAATCCGAAAGTGCTCAGCCCATGGAGGATCGGACTACCGAAACCGGCCTTTTGGGCAAGTCCAGGGTCTAAGAGTCGGTGACCACGAATACGATGCAATCCAACATTTCAGAGCGTTATCAATTATGTCTTTAAGTCAAGAAACGTACCGATATGCAGAGGATTGAAGTCTCCGCTCAAGCGATAGATTGTCGCTTGCTCCTCGGACGTAACCTCCGTCACGACATGGTCTGGCCTTCTCCCCTTCGGAACAGCTTGGGGCGATGGGCCCACTGCTACTGACTTAGAGAACTTTTGCCCAGTTACTTTCGCGCCGACATTGAAAGTTGCAGACTACGGATTCGAGAAACAGGAGGTGATTAGAAGGTGTGTGGATCAGCCGCAAAAAGGGCAGCTTGCTCAAGTTCGAGGGGACCCACTACCATGCGAGAATAGGGAACGTCTTTTCCATCGACAAGGAAAGCTTCTGTTTCAACGATAACACCCGACGCTACGTGACCACACAATGAAACGATTAAAGTGAGAATGTTATCGGAGGAGAAGATCCCCTTCGCTTACTGTTCTCGTGGATCCCGATGATTCTCTTTTTTAATTTCCAGCCATCACCGCTTTCAGTTGGAAGGGGTTTGAGGCTTTCAATGGTCTGGGAGCCGTGTACGATGCGACGGGGGTCGAACTTTGGCAACCCAGGTACGGGCTCGGAATCCTGCACGAGCTTGTTGAAGTCGGTCACATCGGTATGTTCACCTAAACGATTGCAAAAGGGATGAAGTGTTCAGTGGTCATTCCTCTGCCTAGCACTGGAAATTGGCATTATACCTTTGAGGCCTAAAGCCACAGGATATGTTGGGAAGGCCGCGAACGAGTTATCTGTTCCAGCAGACGCCAGTGTATATAGAGAATATATAGAAGGCGAAACAAAGCGCAATATATGTCAGAGAATGGAATAATCCATACTGAGATGACCTTTGTTAGTGACCTAGCTCGTAGACAAATGAGAGATCATCCTTTTTTGCTCCAATCCCGATCGCGTAGAGAAGGATATCTTTCTTAGTCCACGCGACGGGCTGGTCTTGCAGCTGGTATCCAATAGCTTTGGGGAGATCAATTGGCATACTGGGAGTGTATTTGAGTGCTGGAGAGTGTGCGGTCTCTGGCGGGAGGATCTTTCAAATAATAGCAGAATGGTCGGCCGGTCCGGTTAACTCAGTACCCGAAACTGCACAGGTCACCAAGCACCTATCATTTTGGAGAATAGCAAACAAGGAGAGTAACAAGTGGATAGAGCGTGACTGCAACTTGGTCAAGGGCGCCAGAGATCGAAGAAAGCTTGGATCTCCCCGATTGGGGGAACGGGCGATGTCCCTCCCTTCCTTGGCCCAATAATCAACCCGCCTGGGAACCGTTTCCAATCCTCCACAATATATGGCGCAATAACATGTCGTATTATACCATACACCGATCAGACCCATAGTCGCAGCCAAGATACGGCGGCGCTTCCGAGCCATGGCGCAAATTCACCTTAATTGGTCTGTATCCACAATGCTACAACCCTGTTCATCCTCTTCTGCCCACGGCCAGACTTGTGTTCTAACGAGATTTGCAGCACTAGCGCTCGCACCGAGCGATCGATACCATGTTGAACCGCAGCGCAGCAGGACAGGGGATTAACGAAGTTCGCCAAAGATCTCATCAAAAGCCATCTCACCTATTATACGTTGAACTTTGGAGCAAGAAATTTTTGCAATTAGGACAAAAACAACTCTATATATGCTTATCGTCCCCGCCGCTCGGTGTGGCAGCGCACAGTTGATGGGTGATCGAAGGGCGCCCTCCCATTGTATCTTCGTTTATGAAGTCACTTGTCCCTCCGAGATGACGTGAATGTTCTAATCGACTCCGCACACCCAAATGCATGGCTCGTGACGCAAAACGCTATCGTTATAGTGAGAGGGTGAGGCTCCAGAGCAAAACTTAGGCAACCACCTCGGCGCACTACTCCCTCTGGGCTGAGCGGTCAAGGGGGAATTACGAATCGAGCCGTTTTCTGTGAAAAGAGCACAGGAAGGTATTCTGACCAAAATGGAAGTTCGTCAGTCCTCGTAAACATGGTTCGGTGGGCAGGAACGCGCCCGTCCGCACCGGCCGACGGCATGCGCGCTCCGCAGACCACACAGGACGCAAGGCCGTGTTTTCTGGAGCAAAAACCCCATCGAAAAATTGCCTCCACCTTGCCTAATAAGGCAGTTTGGGAGAGGCCTTGCTGTGATTCCAGTAGAATTCCCTCATGCGAAAACGTCGTTTGTGTATGTTGCCGAACACTGACCAGGAACAAGGGGGGAGGACCATGTGTACGACAAGTTGTTGGTGATATCGCATGATTGGATTATAGCAAGATTGGCGCCTAGAATAGTTTGACTTACCACCACCGGCGTCTCATTTGCAGCTTGTGGCTGTGGGTGAGGTTGATGGTGGTGTCAGACAGCCTCGCAGTCCAGGTTTTCATGGAATATTCTAAAGTTCGGTTAGATTATCGGGGAAGGTTTTATGTTGTGTGTTTGTTTACCTCGTATGTAAGCAAGTTTATATACCCGTAGGTGTGCGGCTCTTCGCTGCTCATTCCAGGCCCCCACCACCTTGATTCATATCTCCTCCTCCGCTACCTTGCCATTCGCTTGTGCTCTCTCTGAGAAGCCAGTACTTGGACTTGCGATCTCATAGCTGCTGAACCTCTTAGCGGTCAAGCGGGATAATGCAGATCGTCGAACTGGGCCCTCCCGGCACGAGTTGCGCGCCTCTCTCCAACAACAATGACTCCCCTGCTGGAGTCCAGCTCAGCCATAACATGGTAAGTGCTTTTAATGCCTTAATAGCTACGTCAGGACTCATCCAACTCGTTTTCTGGTAGATGAATAGGCTCGAGATGCTTGCCCGGTGGCGAATCAATCCAGCCTTGATGAAAGTACAAGAATGCGGCCCCGAATTCCATGGAGGATATGCGATGGTTTTGCGGGCATTATTGACTTCTTCGGTTGACGATACCAGAGACCAAGTAGTGGAGTCGAACGGTAGAAACCTCAAGTCTAACGACCGTGTTCCGAAGTCGACAGGAGACAACCAGTGTGGAGAGGTAAAAGAAAGAAAGAAAGAACCAAAGCACGAGGAACAAGAAGCCTACGGAGGATCGGAGCAGGAATCCGATCATGAAACTTCCGGGGGTCGGAAGGTAAGTCATGATCAGAAATTCCACCTCTCCGCGGCGAACCGTTAAGCGGTTTTTCAATTCCAACGCTATAGGCTGTGGCGGTAAAGAAGATGAAGGTAGAGACACAGGACGATGTAGTGCGAGTACTGGGGGTAAGCGTAGTTTAGCACAGTCTAGTAGGAAGCCAAATCTCAGTGTTTCTCAGTTGGCTGTCAGGGAGGCGGAGTTCCTGATCGGTCTTTCTCATGAAAACATAATCAAGCTCGAAGGATTTGTCGAAGACGTATCAAGAAATATGATTTGGCTGGTCTTCACATGGGAGGACAACGGAACCCTTAAGGCGTTTGTTGATTCGGTCGAGTGGGAAATTCCAGAGCGAATCTCGCTGGTACGACGTCACTCCCTCCTTCCGGAATACTTTTAAGACTCAGATTTTCAGATATGCGACGTGAGCGAAGGGATAGAATATCTCCACAGCAGAAAGCCCCCAATATGTCACGGCGACCTTAAATCGGTAAGTTGTCATGGCATTGGCGAAGATGCACGTGACAAACGTAAAGCCAATGCCTCGCAGGTCAACATATTGGTCAACTCCAAATGTCGCGCGCTGATTACAGATTTTGGCTCTGCTCATTATCCCGTCACTAACGGTCCCAAAAAGGAAGGGGAGCCCGCAATCAAGGAACCTCAATTTCCCGCGCCGTCGCTCGAAGCAACGCACTGTCCTGCCACTAATACTATTACCCTGACGTCCAAGCATTACACTCTTCGTTGGGCTGCTCCAGAATTGCTAGAGAAGGATGACGCCAGCCTTGCCAGTGATATCTGGGCATTCGGTTGTGTGGTTTACGAGGTAAGCTAAGCTACTCCACCATTCAGCGACCGAGACAGACGGAGTAGCGTTGAAATAGGTCATGACGAACTCGATCCCATTTCAAGATGTCAAGGACGCCATGGTGATCCAGCACGTCGTTCGGGGGGATCTCCCGTCCATCTCGAGCGACGCTCGGATGTTGTTGATTCAAGCACTCTGTTCTCTTGTGGTACAATGCTGGAACACCGAACCAAGCGCCAGACCGACAGCTAGGGAGTGTCGGACGGCAATAAAGTGGATGGTGAGCAATACTGGCTTACGATCCATTCCCTCCGATTGAACTGGTCTTGCAACAGCCGATGATCGCTCCAAACCCAGCACGAA